GCCTACAATAGTACACTATTTTAGGATATTTGGCAGCAAGTGTTATGCACTTAATCACATTGATAGCCTGGGGAAGTTTGACTTAAAGGCTGATGAAGGTATATTTTTGGGTTACTCTACAAAAAACAAAGCCTATAGATGCTATAATCTTAGGTCTTCTAAAGTGGTTGAGTCAATCCATGTGAAATTTGATGAGAATCCTCAACTGACTATATTTGAGGACAGTTGCAATGTAATTGGCCCAAGTGAAACCAGCTCCTCTGTAACTCACCCTGAGGTTTTAAAGGAAGTTACTTATCCAGTGTTGCAAAAGCAAGTTCAAGCTGAAAGCATAATTGGTTCACCAAAGGCTGGAGTTCAAACAAGAAATAAGAAGCAACTAACTAAGTTAGAAGCTAAAGATGGTAAATAATACAGTCACTTTGCAATGTTATCTTCTATTGAACCTAAATCCTACCTTAAAGCTCAGAAGATTGAGGATTGGGTTGTAGCTATGCAAGAAGAACTTGATCAGATTAACAGAAATAATACTTGGACACTTGTTCCTAGGCCTGCAGATAAGAATGTAATTGGCACTAAATGGATTTATAGAAACAAGTTGAATGAAAAAGGATCTATTATCAGGAATAAAGCAAGGTTGGTGTGTAAAGGCTATTCATAGCAAGCTGGTATTGACTATGATGAAACCTTTGCTCCTGTGGCTAGAATGGAGTCTATAAGAATGCTACTATCCTTTGCATGTCATAAACAAGTCAAAGTGTACCAAATGGATGTCAAATCTGCTTTTCTAAATGAATATCTAAATGAAGAAGTTTATCTAGAGCAGCTTGAAGCTTTTGAAGATTCTAGATATCCCTCATATGTATTTAAACTGAGTAAGGCCTTGTATGGCCTCAAACAAGCTCCTAGGGCCTGGTATGAAAAACTTCATCAGTTCTTAATTGAACAAGGCTTTCATAGAGGCAAGGTTGATAACGCCTTATATATCATAATTCATCAAGAATAGTTTCTGATTCTACAAATCTATGTAGATGATATCATGTTTTGTGGATCAAACACTTCTTTAGCATCAGAATTTGCCAATCTTATGAAGACAAGGTTTGAAATGTCACTCTTGGGTACTCTCAGGTATTTCTTAGGGCTGCAAATTGCTTAAACATTCAAAAGGATCTTCATTTCACAACAGAAATATGCCTTAGAGTTACTTAAGAAATTTAACATGAGTGATAGCAAGTCTGTTTCAACACCATTGTGTCCCAATACCAAGTTGTCACTTGATTGTACTTCAGAAGCAGTTCCTCCAACACTATACAGGTCTATCATTGGGAGTCTACTGTATCTCACAGCCTCAAAACCTGATATAATGTACTCAGTGGGATTGGTAGCAAGGTTTCAAAGTAATCCAAAAATGTCTCATCTTCAAGCTGCCAAACGAATTCTCAGATATATTAAGGGCACAATCTCTTATGGCTTACACTACATTTGCTCACTTACAATGTCTATAGCTGTCTTTTCAGATGCTGATTGGGGTGGATCCTTACCTGATAGAAAAAGTACATCTGGTTGCTGTTACATTCTTGGTTTTAATGTTGTCTCTTAGCTCAGTAAAAAACTAGACACAGTCTCTCTATCTACTTCAGAAGCTGAGTATATAGCTACTTCTCAGGCTGGCTTACAATTACTTTGGATGCAGTCTACCTTGACAGACCTTGGACTTCATTTCTCTATGCCTCCCAAGCTCTTTTGTGATAATCAAAGTGTCATTGCCATCAATAAAAACCTTACCTTGCATTGGAAGAGCAAACATATAGATATCAGGTATCATTTTCTCAGAGATAAAGTTCAAAAAGGCCTACTTGATATTACTTATCTTCCCACTGAGGATCAAATTGTAGATATCATGACCAAATCTCTTCTTCCTCACAGATTTTCAACCCTTAGAGCTCTTCTCAGGGTTGTTCCCCCACCTCTTTGAACCTAATATTGTTGGTCCTACTCCCCTTTTCACCTTCAATTTCAAAAAGGGGGAGAAAAAGACTGAAATAAGGATAGTGTCAGGCTATTCTTATCATTTAATGAGTGTTTGGTTGTATTCTATTTGTTATCTGACTCTATATGGTTGAGGTCTTATTTCACATCAAAGTTTTTGTCATTAAAGGCAAAAAGGGGGAGATTGTTGGTCCTAAGGTTCTCTAAAGACCTGTTTGCCTATTAATGCCAAAAAGAAATAAAAAAGGTTTTGGTTCAGTGAGTCTAAGTGCCTTATCTATCTGCATTGTGGCTTAATATATGTTCTGGGGCAGCAGTGTCATTTACATGGTAGTGACAGATCTTTCTTACTAATTTAGCTAAATTGTCATTTACATGGTAGTGCCTGTACACTTGATTTAGCGAAATTGGATGATTTCAGTAGAATTCAGTATATAAGTATCATGCTATAGGTGCTTACAGGGGTATTTTAGTACTTTCTCAGATCTATTCTATGAAATCTCGCATGCCTATCTAGCTGCATTGCACTAAATAGCAGTATCTTAGACTACATTATGACTGATACAGCCTCAGCAAATGTATTGTACTGAATGTTATATACAGCTGTTGTATGGGTGGTTTTTTAGCTTCTCTAGTATACTCAAGAGTGTGACATGTGGTTGTGGTCCATAAATATAGTCCTCCAATGATGCTGCAGAGCTTAGAGGCTAAGCAAAGAAATGTACTTCAGTGTACCTCACCTGTATAGTGTATTTCTGCTGGTGCACAAAGTGTCACTTTATGGTAAGAAATTAAGGGTAATAATATCCTTGTTCTGAGAGAATGTCAGAATTACTCGTGTATAATCATTGGTTGAAAGGTGATAGCAAGAGACGAGATGAAAAGTAGCCAATGATTTGCATTGTTCTATGTATATGCTGTTATAAGAGCCTCTAGGGTTAAGAAGCCTAAAAAATATACTGAGATTGACATTGTAGCGAAGAACTCTCGAGAACAAATGTTAAACAAGTTTTTCTGAGCTAATTGATGATGATTCCAAGCTAGGAAAATTGATTGACTCATCTCCTGTGTGAATTCCTCTTGCTGTAATACTACTACTGTTGAAATTGCTGATGGAAGGGCTGGTATGAGTAGTGAGATTTTGTTCCCTGCTGCTGTTGTCATTTTTTAAGACTGTTACAGGTATAATTAAGCTTTTCACACTTGCTCACTACCTGTTTTTGAACTGAAACATGCTGAAATGGATTTTGGATTCTTAGATCAATTGTTAAGCTTGATTTTATGATATTTGCTTTGATTCAAGTACAAAATGATTAAGGCTAGCTATTTTATGGACTATCTATGTGCTACCAAGTTTATTTTGATGAATCTCAGCTGCTGAAATTGACTATGATGCAAAACTTAGGCAGTGCCTGATTGTGACCTTGCAAAACCCCTTAAATAGTATAGTGGTGTGTTGCTCAAGAACTGAGATTGAACTTTGATATATATATATATTCATGCTATGCTTGATTGTTTAAAGTTATGAACATGAATAATTCAGTGAGACAAGACTGTGGAAGCTGCTGGTGAATTGATCTCGGATAGAAATTCCAATTTTACCCCTCAAATCTTAGCTGCAGCAGTTGAGTGTTTTTTAGGCAGTAACTTGGTGTTTTATGTTGAATGATTTGTTTTCACTTGTAGAATGAATCTGAACATTGTGTTTACAACTTGTAAAGATGTACGAGATGAGTTGTAAGAGCTTTGTTGGTCCAAGCAAGGGTGCTTAGGACAGGGGGAATGTGTGTGTGTGCACTGATATCAACTAGTGTGTGTGTTGGTTGTGAAAACTAGCTTTCATTCTTGTGTTTGGGTGTGTGTAGAGGGTGAGACAGCTGAGTGTGTAACAAAATACATACAGCTAGTAGTGGACTTTATTGGCTGAACCAAGATTTTTCCCTTGTTGGAAGGGTTTCCTTGTAAATCTTGTTTCAGTGCTTGAATGTGTGTTATCTACCTACTTTGCTAACTTGTAAAAGAGAAAGTTTAACCAATTCACCCCCCTCTTAGTTCAACATAATATAAGTTGTCTAAATGTTGTAAGATATGGACTTTTCATCTTAACCATATTTTTGGGACTGTAATTATGATATTTAGATTAAATAGTATGTGGTTGTTCCACCATTAGATGAACTATGTTGAGGCATAATGAATGGATGAAAGGAATGTTGAAATGTATTATTTGCATTGTGTGTTAGGACAAGTTAGATAAGTTTTGAAGGTCCAAGAGAGGCCATTGCATTTTTATGTATTTAAGCAGGTTGTTATAGGGCCTTTTTTAGCAGAGGTTATGCCGAATTTTTTATTTTTATTTTTTATAATTGGTATCATTTTAGGGTCGTTACAAATTTGGTATCAGAGCGATGGTTCAAAAACCTTTAGGACGATGGGTAGAGGCCTGCATAGGGTTGTGTGGGAAGTTATTTGTATATCTATGTGGCTATTTGCTAAAGTGTTTTGTTATTTGAAAAGCATGCTTAACTATTTACTTGCTTACGTGTTTATGTGTTTATGCTTATGCTAATGTGTTTATTGCATAGCCTTGCATGCTTGGTGTTAGTATAATATTATTTTGTGTTGAGTCGTTCTTGGTGGGACTTTAGTGTCATTTTTGTTGAACCATTTTCTCAATTTTTTTTTTATTTTTTATTTTTTTTTATTTTTTTAGTTTTTTATAGATCAATGCCACCGCGAAAGGAACAAAGGGGAGTTGGCCCTAGGCCGACAAGGGGTGATGTTGGTAAAAGCTCTAGCTTCAATCCCGCGGAGCAAGTTGATGAGGATACACTTCTTAGGGACTTGATTCCCCCAAGAGGTGTTCCTACTGGAAGGGACAATATTGAGACACCCATTAAAGAGGGTGAAGGTTTGGCTGATCTAGCACTGAATCATTTGTACAGAGAGCCTTGAGGGCCACAATTGCTTATTTTCTGCAACTGGTACCACAACCGGTAGTTCAAGTTGAGGAGATGGTAGCACAGAAACGTCTTAAGTTGATTACTGGGTTTTCAAAGTTGATGCCAATGATATTTGAGGGTGGTGCAGATCCAATGGTAGCGGACGACTACATGGGCCAAGTGGAAAACCACTTAACTTCTATTAATGTGTCGGATTATCATTTGAAAATCATTTTGGCTACTTATAAGTTTTCCAAGGACGCCAAGCTTTGGTGGAAGTCAGTTATTAACCAGCACAAGGTAGAATACATGAGGTTGTATATGTTCGAGTTGTTTTATGAGAAGTATTTTCCAGTTACCAAGAGGTGGGAGCTAAGGAAGCAGTTTGATGATCTCATCCAAGGCAACATGTCAGTGACAGAATATGAGAATAAGTTTACCTCTCTTTCTCGCTTTGCTCCATAAATAGTGAGGAATGAAGCTGACAAGACTCGGAAGTTTGTTTCAGGTCTTCATTACCAAATGAGGCCATTGATAACGGCACAGTACTTCAAGCTTTACTCAGAGGCAGTGGAAAGAGCATTAACGCTAGAGGCGGAGGCCAAAAATAAAAATGCGGGAAGGGAACAGTGGAAGTAAAAGAGAAATGCAGGACCATCATCAGAGGGGCAGTCATGGAAGAGGAACAAGGGTAATTCGTCTCAGTTTCAGGGACAGTAGTTGGCACGATCTAATCCTACTACTCCTATGCCAGGGTCTGTGCCAGCAACCTGAACATTACAAGTCCAATTGTCCTATGAAATCGTCTACATAACGAGGCCCCATCCTATGTATTTAGAAAACAGACTATTTGATGCGAGAGGTCGCTTCGCAAGGTCAAAATATGATTGTGGTTGATGAAGCCTTTCTAGTCAAATTTACATTTATAAAAACCACTACTACAACTAATGACGTATAGTGAGTAGGGATCGTCCGCAGGGATCATATGTGTTGGAATTTAATTTCGACTTTAATGTATCAATTGATTGCAAAAAGAGAGATTGGTTGACTAAACTAAGATGCAATAAAATTAAAATGCAAGTAAAGTAAACTAATGAGAGATAGGGATTTAAAAGATATGAAAAGAGGTCTTAGGGTGTTGGAATCACCACTTAGCTCATGTAATTAACCACTTGCTTTTCATTAATGGGGAATACATTATTGCAATCTAGATGTGGCCACAAACATAAACACAATTTGCATCTAAAAGTGTGAACTATCTAATACAAGAGTGAATTGTCTACCTAACCAACAAGTAAACTAAGTGTAGAATAACCCACCAAGACAAAGGCATAATCCATCAATTAGTTAACAAATGGGTCTAACGAGAGCACACATCAATCTAGAGAATCATGAAATTTGCAATAATAAGTGTGGAGTATCAAATCAAGAATAGATTGTCTACCTACCTACAAACATGAATTAAATTGTAGAACAACTCATCAAGTATAAGTATAATCCATCAAATTAATTGACAACCCCATTCAATGAAAACCATGCTTAGCCATCACTAAATCCTTAATTAATCACACATAGACATGCAACCAATATAGAGAATCTAGTGTAGAGATCAATTCCTAAATAATCACACATAAGACAACATGTAATTCAAATAGAGAATCATAAAGAAGAATTAAATCAACAATCACAAGGCTAACCACTAATCACAATAATATATATATAAATCCCCAAAAATAGAAATACAAGGGTTAAGATTACACAAGACTTAGCCCTAAGTGTAGATTTAGCCAATCATAGAGGAGGTGGATGTGGTCATGAAATCCTCAAGAGCAAGCTCCAAACAAGGCTCCATCTTCTTCTTCTTCTTCTTTGAAGCTCTAGAGATAGAAAGTATGTGGATCTAGAGATGTGTTCTTGAGATGTGTCTCCACTTCCCTTTTTTCTTCTGACCCTAATCTCTAACTTTCTAGAGAGAGAAACTACAACAATATAGAAATTATAATATAAAAATATGAATCTCTCTACAAAAATGGCTCAATCCCTCTTATATGCATATGCTTTTAGAGCCCAAAAATGTGAGAACTCAGCCCTAGGATCTCCTATTTCAAGCACAGCTCGAGTTAGTTCGAAATGAGGTTTAGATCTGCTTTTTAATAACTTTTGCGGATAGTTTGATCGATCCAACCAATAGTGTGATCGATCAGAGGTATGGTGTGATCGATCAGGGTTCGATCGATCCAACTTTTCTTCGATCGATCCAACTTAGCAGTTTTCAGCATCAGCCTCCTTTTGCTCCAGATTCACACCAAGACTTAGTTTGACTCCAAAAAGGCCTTAATGGACCAAAATTAGCCCATTTTAATGTTATTGACCTGAAATAGACAAAAACATGTAATTAGACTAAAACAGGAAAATAAGATAGATAAATGGACTAAAATACCCTCGTTTAGGTGCTAAAATGCGTAAGATTGAGCACTCATCACAGTTCCTTCAGCATCGAGAGCTTATTATAGGTGTGGCCAGTAAGGCCATATGATTCAGGATTTTTTTAATCGGGGAACAGGCATCGAGTGGCAGAGGGTCATAGCAAAGGCACTCACAGTCGGCTACAGTTCAGTCGGGTTTCAGACCACCACGACCACCGCAACCTGCCATGTCTTCACAGGGTTCACGGCCAGGAGGGATACTTCTACTATGTCAGTGTAGCAGTCAGGCATTCAGGTTGACAGTTCACAGGTGCAAGAACCAGACCACAGGGATGTGTCTTTGCAGTTGTCCAGGCTGACATGCCTTCTAGTCCATCAGTTTTTCGAGGTATCTTTCCAGTGTTTGGTTCCTGGGCTCGTGTTGTATTTGACTCTAGTGCATCTCATTCCTTCATATCATCATCATCTGCACTTGCATCAAGGTTAGAGGTCAGTTTTATGGATCGGGCATTATGTATTGATACGCTTGTTAGGGTTTCAGTGTCCTTGAGCTGAGTTGTAAGGAATTATTCCATTGTGATAGCTGGGTGGAATTTTGTGTTTGATCTCATCCTCCTAGAGATGATTGGTTTTGATGTCATACTCGGGATTGATTGGTTAGCTTCATTTCGTGTAATGATCGATTGTTTTAGAGGAAAAGTCACAGTTTGCATTCCTAAAGGGGATTATTTCTTTTTTGTGGGAAATCGGAGTGATTCCCACACTTCATCATTTTATGGAATTCGTGGACGAGGACGTGGTGACTACTTCTTAGCTAGTCTTTTAGCCAAAGAAGATGATGATGTGGAAAATAATTATCCGGCAGTTGTTCGTGACTTTTTAGACGTCTTTCTTTGAAGATTTGACGGAGTTACCTCCGTACCTGAAAATTGAGTTTGCTATTGGTTTGATGCTCGATACCGCGCCAATTTCTATGGTATCGTATCGCATGGCACCTATTGAATAAGAAGAATTGAAGAAACAACTTGATGATTTAAGAATGAAAGGCTTCATTCGACCGAGTGTATCAGCGTGGGGAGCACCGGTCTTGTTCGCTAAGAAGAAAGATGGTTCTTTGAGGTTGTACATTGATTACCGGAAGTTGAATCATGCCACCATCAAGAACAAGTATCATTTGCCAAGGATAGATGATTTGTTTGATCAGTTGAGGAGAGCCAGTTATTTTTTTAAGATTGACTTAAGGTTAAGCTACTGTCTGTTGCGGGTTAGGGATGAAGATATCCCAACGATAGCGTTCCGTACACGGTATGGACATTATGAGTTTCTTGTCATGCCCTTTCGTCTGACTAATGCGCCAGCGGCATTCATGGACTTAATTAACCGTGTCTTTCATGATTACTTCGGCCAATTTGTGGTAGTTTTCATGGATGACATTCTTATGTATTTATGGACTCGGGAGGAGCATGAAATCCATTTGAGTATTGTATTGTAGATTTTGAGAGAACACCGTTTGTATGCCAAATATGAGAAATGTGAGTTTTGGCTACAAGAGGTGAAATTTTTGGGGCATGTTGTCCCGGAAGTTGGAGTGTTAGTGGATCCATCGAAGATAGAATTGGTTTTGAATTAGGAGTAACCCAAGAATATTTTTGAGATCCGAAGTTTTTTTGGCCTAGCGAGTTATATATTATCGTAGATTTGTGAAGAATCTTTCCCTTTTGGTAGCACCTATGACTCGTTTGACAAGGAAGGGGATCAAGTTTACATGGAATGAAGCCTGTGAGTCTTCCTTTCAAGAGTTGAAGACAAGATTGACTACAGCTCCAGTGTTGGTGATACCCGAGCGTGGCTTAGGTTATATGATTTATTGTGACGCTTCACGTGATGGTTTGGGTTATGTGTTGATGCAGGATGGTAGAATAGTGGCTTATGGGTCTCAACAGTTGAAGACTCACAAGCTTAACTACCCTGCTCATGATTTAGAGTTAGGGGCAGTCGTGTTTGCTGAGACACTACTTGTATGGCGAGGGATTCGAAGTGTTCTCAGATCACAAGAGTCTCAAGTACCTTTTCTCTCAAAAGGACCTGAACAATAGATAGAGGCGATGGGTTGAGTTTTTAGAAGATTATAACTTTGACTTACAGTTTAATCCAGGTAAGGCAAACGTAGTAGCTGACGCCTTAAGCCAAAAATCTAGAGGGACTTTGGCCAGTTTAGCCATTCAGAAGTAGAAGATGCTTGAAGACTTAACAGAAATGGGATTGTGTTGCTTTGATGAGGATGTTTGCAATAAGTCGGCATTCTTGTTTAGCCTTGTGGCTCAGCCTACTCTTGTCGGACAAGTGATTGAGTCACAGAGACATGATCCGGATTTAGATGTCATTTATACTTTGATTTCCAGTGGTGAGACAGTGAAAGATTGGACCTTGCATACAGATAGAGGTCTTCGGTTCAAAGGTTTATTGGTTATTCCCATAATTTGTCGTGAGAACGTTCTGCGGGAGTTTCACACTTCCCGCTTTACAATTCATCCAGGTGGTACTAAAATGTATCATAATTTGAGACATCAGTATTGGTGGAATGGAATGAAAAAGGATATTGCATAGTTTGTGGCTAGATGCCTTACCTATCAACAGGTGAAGACCGAGCATCAGAGATCTGCTGGTTTATTGCAGCCATTGCCTGTAGTGCAGTGGAAATGGGAGCAGATTGCTATGGATTTTGTGACAGGTCTTCCTAGATTACAGAAGGGAAATGAAGTCGTATGGGTCATTATTGATAGATTGACCAAGACGGCTTACTTTTTGCCTATTAAGACAACGGATGACGAATAAGCAATTGGTTTTTTTTATGTGAAAAAGATTATGAGGTTGCACGGAGTTCCAGTGGCTATTGTTTCAAATAGGGATGCCAAGTTTACTTCGAGGTTCTGGGAAGGACTTTAGGCAGTGTTTGGTTCATCATTACACCTTAGTACGACATTCCATCCATAGATGGATGGCCAGTCGGAGCATACCATCCAGATCATGGAGGATATG